CTACGGGCTTTTCTGGTTCGAGATCCAGTGACAGAGTTTTAGAGCAGTGGTACAAGATGTACTTGGGACGTAATTGTACAGAGGACCTCCGAGTAGGTGGTGACTGTGACCAGTCGTAGTGGACAAAGATGAGACATGCGTTCGTTCATTGGACGAAGCTGCGGCGGTTAGGAGAGTGGGTGGGCGCTTAGGGAGGTTGCACAGCACAACGAAACGCAACTCAACAGAAGACAACATAGCATCGCATCGTATGGCACAGTAGCACTGCCCCATCGTTCTCTCAACAGATGAAAGGTGTGCTGTTCGAGTACAGAGATGAAATGGGAGGAGGAGATGACCGCGGAGCAAGGCAGCGATGAGGATAGGTGAGGTGAGGTGAGGTCAAGGTTAATGCGACTCGCCAAGTTCTATGCTCCACCGTACACGAGATGCATGGTACTGTGGAGTATACGCTTCAAAGAGCACGTCTCATCATTTCAATCACACATCCATTCGGGTGCCAACTTGTTTCCTGGCGCTTAAGCACGTCGCAAGAAACACCCGCCCGCCATCATCACTGACAGTCTACGCAACTGCTGTGCATGAACGACTCGTTCATGATCCACTCTGCAATCTGAACGTTTCAGATCTCTCAAGGAAACCGCCCATCGCGTGGCAACCCTGCTCATCATCACTGTGTGTTGGCGCCCACGACTACTGCCCCGGCTGCTCGACCAAATATTCACGTCCTGATGTCAATGAAACCGGTGTCTTTCTACAGCGAAGCGATTGGAGTCTCTCCATACAAATCACCTCAATGGATCCATCGATATGATCGGATCGGTTTTCTCCAAATCTTTCTGTGGAAGAAGTTCGCCATGCCTTTTGGAACCAAGTATACGTACCTGCCCCTCCTCTATTGGTCTGAGAAGTTTGATCCCATTCGTCCCCTATCATCCTTTGCGCTGTTAGATGTTTCTATTTCCGAAATCAACACGAGTCTTGGCCTATATGGTGGGTACAGAGCAGTTATTTTGGACTATTTCTGGGGTGAATCGCTTTGCTGGCTATGGAGTATTATCTCCTCGTGGGATTCTTGGGGTAGGATGTCATTGCTGCTGTGTGGCCAGCTGCCACGTTACGTTCGAATAAATTTAGGTACGGATGTTAGCTTGTATGTGGCCTATATACCCCGTCAACGGAAAAGAGGACTTCATGGTGCCCATGCCTATTCTATAGGCCTTGGTATACTGGAGTGTTTGCCGAGAGGTCCAGCAGAAGCTCCAAAGACCTTTTTTCTCCTTCTATGAAATCAGGGGGTTCGTGCCTGTGGCTAAATCTGATCCTGGCCCGACTCCTCTTTCTGCTTACTCGGTAAGGTGAAATTCTTGCTGAATGATGCTAGATCATTCAGGAAGTCTCGAGGTGTTGAAAGACATCATGAAATTTTACAGGGCTGAAAGGCCCATTTTCTTTTTGTTGTACATGATATGCTCGTTGGATTATTTCCAGAGATCAATGCTAGATGCATTCGTTCAGTTGCCTGCTTATTTCTATCATCACTAAACCTGCAGCGGCATGGTCCACAATGGATCGGCGCGCGCGCCAAGAACCCGGAATTTCCGTCTTTTGAAATTACATCAACCAGCATTAGCATCTGAATCGAGCAGTTGATAGAGGATTTCGCAGAGATACCATCCCATTTTCCTCGCAAGAAAACATCAGCACATTGTCTAGACTATAGCAATCATGCCAGACCAGAAAGATAGTCGGCCAGCAAAGCAACGGCGAATCCACGGAACGCCACTGCTTGATCAATCTAGTCCGGTCGATGATGACGAAGACTCTTCAAGTTCCTCGTCGTCCTCTTCTGTACACCTACCAACGTCCCGACTTGCTCATCGATTACTAAAACACACCAATCCACCACCTACAGAGAGATCTGCCGGCGACGGCCAAAGCGGAGACGAAGACGAGGATGATGTGACGACATCGTCTTCAGATTCCGAGGATTCCGACAGCGAAGAGTCGTCTGAGGAAGAGGATCTGGACAGCGAGGACGACGACGAGGACGAAAATGAGGGTGTCGAGGATCATCTCGATGCCAGCGACTCAGGAGTGCCGCAATTCAACACGTTACCTGCTCCAGCATCGGACCTCAAGTCTCGTTTGCAGAGTTTCCTGCCACAACTACGGCAAGCAAATGCAGAACTCGACAACGCTGGAGGAGTGGTTGACAGAAGAGTTGACCACGTATCAGACGAGGAGGAGCATTACATCGAGATGGAAGTGGGTCTCGGCGTGCTGTCTGAGGAGAGGATCGATGCCACCCAAATACAGCTTCCTCGTTCACCTTCTGGTGAGAATGAAATAGACCAAGACGAGATCAAAGATGGACCAGAGGACTCACAAACCGGCGTGTCGCGATTGTTGGGCACCAATGGGACAAAAGGGACGAAGCGGAAAATCGAGGAGCTATGATAATGGGCTGCATTTTTGTGTTGAGATAGAGTTTGGGCGGTGTTGGGGTATGGCGTTTGGCGTACAGGGCGAGAGGGTTCTGGGGAGCAGGGAGAGTATCTCTAATGCCTATTAATCACCCTTTAATCCTAGTACGAGGTATTCAGTACTTAAAGGCATCCCGCTAAGTTGTGGGGGGCGCAGGGTCCGAGGTGCAGGCGGGCAACCAAAACTCGCCGGGCGCGGCAACGTCATTGTTTGGATCTAACCTGAAACTGTCATCCAAACCCACGCGGGTCTGATCCAACCAGCAACCCCCCCAGATCACCACAGCAAACCTAGCGGCCCCCCATTAGCTCACCGTTATTTCATGTATGTTTCCCTCCACTGCAGATATCGCGCCGTCATCAAAGAGTGCATTCTTCTTCTCGACCGGACTTCGACAATGGTGCCGCCCTCACGCACATATCCCCATGACGCACGATCAAAAACACCCACACACTCGACCGCCTCGAGTCCCTCTCTCAGGTCCAAGACGCCTGTGAGTGTCCCCTTGACACCGACAAACAGCACCATGAATCCCGGTGGCAATGTCAAGGTCGTCGTCAGAGTCAGGGCGTTTCTTCCCCGCGGTAAGGAAACTATGACCTCTCAGTCCGCTGCTGCTAATCACTGTACGGTAGAAATCGACAGAGGCGCAAGATGCCTGATTGAGATGAACCCTCGCACGCAGTCGACGAAGCTGCTGGTACCGCCTTCGTCCGACCCTGCAAATGCACGAGCACAGACGAGGAAAGTGGTGGAGGAGAAGTTGTTTACGTTTGACAATTCTTTCTGGTCGCACAATACGCGGGACGATCACTATGCCACACAAGAGGATGTCTACAATTGCTTGGGAGAGGAGTTTCTGGACCACAACTTTGAAGGCTACCACACGTGCATCTTTGCGTACGGCCAGACGGGCTCGGGCAAGAGTTATACCATGATGGGCACCCCAGAGCAGCCCGGGTTGATCCCACGAACCTGCGAGGATTTGTTCCAACGCATCGAGTCCAACGAGAGCGCCAACATCAGCTACAGCGTTCGAGTGTCGTACTTTGAAGTCTACAACGAGCACGTACGGGATTTGTTCCAGCCCCGGACCGAACCGCCGCAATACCTCAAAATCCGCGAATCTCCTACCGAAGGGCCTTATGTCAAGGACTTGACGGAAATCCAGGTCAAGAATTACGGCGAGATTCTCAAGTACATGCGCATGGGCGACAGCTCCCGGACCACTGCTTCGACCAAAATGAATGACACGTCTTCCCGGTCACATGCCGTCTTCACCATCATGCTCAAACAAATCCACCACGACTACCGTACAGACGAGACCACCGAAAGATTGGCTCGAATAAGACTAGTGGATTTGGCCGGATCAGAGCGTGCCAAAGCCACCGAGGCCACGGGGCAGAGGCTTCGAGAAGGTGGAAACATCAACAAGTCACTGACCACCCTAGGCAGAGTGATTGCGGCGCTCGCCGATCCCAAACATGGTCGAACACAGCACGCAAAACGGGGCAATCGCGACATTGTGCCGTACCGTGACTCGATTCTGACTTGGTTGCTGAAGGATTCGCTGGGAGGAAATTCAAAGACTGCCATGATTGCTTGCATAGCCCCGTCAGACTACGATGAGACCCTGTCAACCCTCCGATATGCTGACCAGGCCAAACATATCCGCACCAAGGCTATTATCAACCAAGACCATGTCTCGTCGGCCGAAAAAGACGCCCAGATCAACGAAATGCAGGAGACAATCCGCGCGCTGAGATGGACGCTGAGCCAGCAACAACAAAATGGTAGTGCCTCTGTGATGAAGGCCGTGCAAGAGACCGCCGAGGCTCAGTCGGAGAAGATTCGTGAATTTACGACCAAGTACGAAAACATGCTGCAGATCATGGAAGAGAAGCTGGCGATTTCAGAGTCCAAGGTGCGACAGCTGGAGGAAGAGAAGGAGGCCTTGAGCATTCACTTGAAGCTCGTGCTGGACGAGCTCAAGAACCCGATCGTCATCAACAAGGAGGAAACCGAAACCGAATCGGTCTACGAGAGGTCTAGGGCGCCGACGCCGGACATGATCTATGAAGATGACACGGCTTCTAGCGACGAGGTGGACACGGAGTCCGAGGTAGAAGACGACGCCGCCGAGATGCAGGCCGAGATGGAAGCGCTGATCTCGGACTTGGGGATGTTCAAGAAGAAGATTGCGGCGGACCACGAGATGTTTGGCATTGGCGTCGCCGCCTGAGTGGGGAGAAATTGGACGAAAGTGAATGGTTCGGGTCTGTTGGTTAGCGAGGCGTTTGTTGGTCTTTGGAACAGCCCTATCGGGGAGCCATGGTTTGCGAGAAGGCGAGAACTTGGTGCAGAATGCGACAATGGAAACTCGTACACTTGGTTGTGAGTTTACGAATAGAGAAATTTTACCTTGCTCAGTGGTGAACCGCGCGATCTGTTAGCTTTGGCTATGTTGTACATCAATGACTCGTCGAACTCACTCACTCACTCATATATATGTACTAAGTCACATCTCGATCGTATCTGCCATACGCGTCAACGAAGCGCGCCACCTCCCTCAGATCTGCCACCCACCAAACGACCACTTTCTTATTGTCTCCTCCCACGCGAGCCTCGCCGCCGCCGCATCCTCCTCCTGCCTCGCCTCTCTCTTGTCGACTCGACTCGCGACGGTACCTGACCCACTCGCCCAAATCGAGCCTCCGCACCTCGACGCCAACTCTCTCCAGCGTCTCTTGCAGTTCGCGCTGGCCACTACCCAAGGGCTCGTCGCGGACACAGACGCCCACGTCGGCGGAGACGAGGCAGTCGAAGTCGGTGGGCGAGTCGCCGACGTAGATGACTATGTCGCCTTGGCTTTCGCTTTCCCCCTGGTCTTCGCGGTCTCTGGTCCGGTGTAGGCGTTGGAGATGCTGCAGTGCGGCGAGTTTGTCAGCGCTGGTGTGGATTCCGGCACCACCAGCAGGTGCCACTGTCGTTGAGTAGTCATTGTCCCGGGGTGAGCAGGGGAGGAGGTTATTGGCGAGGATGGGGAGCGACTTTACTACCGTGGCTTGGATCTGTGATGAGTGTTCGTGCTTGAGGTCTCCTGCCTCTGTGGGTGCTGTGGTAGCCGCGGCTGTTAGACACGCTCTTATAAACGCGGCGCTCCAATTGACACTGATGATGGCGATGGGTGGAGAACCTGCCGCCGCCGGCACAGGCACACTCGCGTCACACTCAACATGACTGTGACTGTGACTGTGACATGCCCCTGCACCTGGACTTGCAGCAGTAAGAACGTCCCACCACCCCTCCCTGAGCCGTACCTCGCCATTCCGAACCGCCCCCTCCGCCTCCATCGAAATATCCCCTTCCGTGACATCGGCAAAGATCCCCGCGTCCACCACCCTCCGGACACTCCGCACCTCGACCCCCCTCAGACTAGCCAGCCAGGCACTCTCGAGGGGTATCGTGCGCCGGTCCTGCCTGGAGGGACGGTACGCGTCCTGATGGCACGTGTAGTCCGCCATGTAGGCCTGGACGATCTGGTCCCACGACGGGGGTGGTGGGACCCGGTGCTTGTTAGTTCTGTAGCCGATGGCCGCGACGACGTGGAGGGTGTCGCGTGTGGTGAGGGTGCCGTCCCAGTCGAGGACGATGCGGATACGGAATCTCGATGCCATTGTTGGAAACGTGGATGGTGACAATGACGGTGGACTGGTGCGTAGCAGGTATCGCGTCGGATGGGTCGGGGAGACGCGCATGCCATCCCCTCCTACTACCAAGTATCCTCTTTAGCGGGAGATTTTTAAAGTGACGTTGTCTTGTTGTCCATATGCTTAGATTGCTCCTTGACCTTTTGTCCTCAAGGCTGGTGGATGGATGAATGGAATGAATGATGGATGAGGCTCGCTGTATGTAGCTTTGGCGACCGGTCTTGGCAAGGCAGATCCCCGTTGCACACTTCTACATGCCTTTATATCTTCGTGTCTTGTTTAGCCAGCAGATGAATCTAGAGATTAAAGAAGTTTGACCATCCTACATTTACTCTTCAAGGTGTCGATCTTGGTTCTTGTCGCCGTCATTATCCTGCATCCCCCCCTCTAGACGCTCGTCTCTTTTCTTGGGCGCCAACTCCAAACGCGTGATGATATGATTGAAGACCTTCTGCGAACTGACTGACGCTTGAATGTCTACAGCAAGTTGGTTCCGTGAATGATCGGCTTGTTTTCCTCTTAGCACGTATTCCAGCGCGAGCCAAACTGTATAGTTTTCGGCCGACATGCTATAAAGTTCGACTTTTTCTGTTATGGCGGTGGGTGAAATGGATAGCTTCACATAAACGCACAGTACCCTCCCTTCGTATTCGAAGGCTAAGACAACACAGTGCACGCCCGGTTCCCTTTGGCCAACAATGTGCAGGGTGCTGGTGGCGACATCCCACACCCCATTTGGCTCGGATCCTGCGAATTTCCACGTAGGAAAAGTGAAGTTCCTCTTGACAATAATGCTTCTGGTGAAAATTGTTGAGTTTCTCCCCGGCAGCATGAGGCGAAGCTCGCTTTGAGCATAGTCGATGACGATATCTTCGTGCCGCGCATCGACAGCGTCTTTGCAATGAACAAGAAACGTTCCGACGTTCGACCCTGGAGTAACTCGCCGATACCGATTGTCATGGGTCCACCGTCGCAGAAGAATACCTGTGATCATTTCAGGCCTATGCTGGTACGCACATGGGATCAAACCAATCCAGCAATCACGAGGAATAAGACCCAAGTAGCAGTCATCAGGGGGGGATACCAATTGCATTCTCAGGTGAATTCCAATGTCGGTGACTGAAACTCCTGTCTGATGCGAGTATTGGTTGCACGAAACGATACGACCAGAATCTTTGAAGTCCATGGGACTTTCCGCAAACATCGGTAAGAGAATGTCTGGATCGCCTCGTTCTCTAAGCTCCTGCACTGTGTGTGGCGAGAAGCAATGAGCAAATAATGACTGGTCTCCTGTGACTTTCAGGATTTCTTGCTGAAGTCGTGTAAATGCTCTTCGACCCTCACCATAAATCAGGGCCATACTGAGATCGAAGATTCCGAGGAGGGAATAGGAGACATCTTCGATACGCTTGGCTTGCCTTTTCGATGCCCACGACATGCGCTGTGCTACACTCTTATTGAAGATGGCATAGGGATCCCGAAGCACATCTTCATCAATACCAGTCTTCACCGATATCGAGAAGGTGAGTTCTGTTTTGGTCCCTATGCGACTCCAATGTTTATCAAAGAGAACAACATGATTCGGTGCGATTAGTTCTTGAAGTGTCCATGCTCTTGTCCACCATCGACTCTCGAGATAGCCGTCGATGATACCGGTCTCCTTGCGGTTATGCTCGACATCGCTCAGGTAGGCATAGCACACGGCCGACTTGCGATACCAGGTGTACATAGAGTTGATAGCCTCGGTGAGCTCAGCACTACTGCTTTTGTCGATGCAACAGGTGTCAATCCAGAAGTATTGCAAGTCATCTTGTCTAGCTTGTTCTCCACAGAACCGGATCTTCTCATAGCCAGGCTTATCCTTGCCAGTGCCGTTTGTCAAGTCTTGGAAGGTGACTTCCTCGGTATCCGCTCCCCATGTGTGCGAAAGTATCGCATATGGAGGGATTGTATCGTTGCCAAAGTGCTCAGTGAGGTTGAACTCGCCAGTATCGCTACGTCGTAAAAGACGCATTGTTTCGCACAAACCTTGACAAGAGCAAGTCGTGGGAGTGAGGTTTAGCCGCGGCAGGTTGGGTAGGGAGACAGGAGCGTGGCAGCTCGTTCGTCGGCTGAGAATACCATAGAATACCTAGCCATTAGGGTTCAGCAACTACACAGGTAAACCGAGAACACTAAACCATAATTACCGAAGTATTGCATCTGAAAGCGAGACTATTGGGGACGAGTATAAGTTGGACACGCAGGAGTTGGGGCTGGTTGCACAGCCTATATTTTGGCGTGGTACTTGTAAGGCCGACGTAGGCATCGTTGAAACCACGTGTTCGTAAACCGAGCAGGTTTGACACCTCGATCACGCTGTGTGGTAACCACGTACTTCTACTGTCTTTGATTGTCACTAACTGATTCTATTCAGTTCTGGGAGTACGTCGTTGTTGTCTCGGCATCCTATGATTTTCTCGTTCTTCTTCTAACCTGTGGCTCAATATAGCTATGTCCAGCCCCAGGAGCTTTAGAACGGCTTCATGAACAGTCCCCCGATGGCCGCCACTTCATTCGAATGTGGCGATCAATCTCAGCATGGCTACTGAAATTGTGAGAAAGAAAACCTGTGGTAGGTTATGGGGGTCCCATCGAAGGGACACCAGTGCCGATATCGATTCTAGCTGTTTTCTCTATGATTGACGCGTCATTGGGGGCGGATATCGAAGCAGCAACTGAGCAGCTGGTTCCTGAAGGAGACAATTCATACGCGCTGCCGAACAGGGGTGGCGTGGGAGGTTGTTGATAGGCCATTGGCGGCAAGAGTGGTGGCAGATTGTCGCTCTACTGGGCATGCGTTTCACGCTTTCGTTGGTTGTGTGCAGGACACTCCCTCTCTCTCTTCTGCGTTGTACCGTCACAGTAGCCGGTGGACCTGAACTCCTTAATCTATGCAAGGTTTCCATTGAATATTGAACTGTCCTTTTTCCTTGCAACCCTGTATAAACAACGGAATCGTGTATAAAAGGAGCAAGTATAGCTCAAAATGGACGAGGAGCAAGTCGCCCGCAATCCAAGAACGTCCGGGTAAACCCATCTCCAGAGCCCAGACTCTGTCTTGAGCCGCTGAGAACGGCAAGGTTGATTTGATGAAAGGTCTTCTTAAATACGCAAAAAGTTGCCATCAATTCCATATGTTTTCCTCGAGAGGACACCATTGTCATGGACGGCAGGATGCAGGACATTAGGCAGGAGTGAAGTTGCTATATGAGACTGGCAAGGAGGACATCGAGCACAAAGGTAGATCTGGGCGGACGCTGCTGTCACCAGCGGCAGGAGGTGGACACGAGGCAGTGGTGTAGCTGCTGCTTGAGGCCTGCCAGGTGGATGTCGAATCCAAATAATTATGCCGACGGACGCATATCTCATCAGGAACATTAAATGGACATGCAACTGTGGTAAGGCAGCTTTCTCATTTCTTGAAGGGCAGGCGTGATATCAAAGGGCAAGGCTTCAGACATGGCAAAGTTTGGTTTTGCAAGGAGAGAGTCATGTTATAGAAACCCATCTCCGCTGCGCCGTTTTACGGCAAAGACAGCCGAGGTCGTGAAATTCCTCGTGATGATAGGTGAGGTCGATCTTGGAGCTATCAAGGCAGAGCAGCAATCCACACATTTGGCGACTATTTGAGGCAGTTCGACTGTTTTGTTGGCAACCTCGATCTCGAGCACTTCCCCTCACTTTTTCCTGGTTTTGCTTGGGGGCGCAGAGGATGCTCCGTATAGGCTTCTCTATCATCACAGGAATTTTTCCGCTTAGGATCAGGCCTGGTACGCTTCTTGGAGGCCATGAATAACTATTGTTTATTTCTATTGTTCATGTTCAAAGATTTTGGGGTTGACGCGACGCACGATGCCAGGCGCTACTCACCCACGTGGCGGCGCAGTCTGTTCAAGCCGTACTTCCTGGTTCCGACTGACCGCTTCTTGCAAAGGAAGACCAATCGATAACCCCCTCTAGATATTCCTTCCTACTGCAGGTGCCTTCAAGTCATCGAGGCGCCGTCCTCGCCCTGCAGTCTTGGGCGAAGGATATGGCCTGATGAGTTTACGCAACAGCGTTTCAGATAGGGGTTTGGCTCGCTAGCAAAGGGAAACTATTGCCGGCTCTGGGGAACTAAACAACGTCCCCCAGCTGTGTCCTTTGGCGTGCTCACTTGCTGCTCCCCTGGAACTCCCTCGCCCTCGCCTGACGCTCTCCCATGCCTCCTGTCCACTCCGCTCGTGCTCCCTCACGTGCCCGATTAAGCGGCAATGCTCCTTTTCCCAAACGAATGTGGTAATCGGTGCAGGTCAGTTCGGGGCATATACATCGAGAAAGAGACACCCTTTTTTGGGGAAAAAGTGTCACTGCATACTCAGACACATGAGCTTGACAAACCACTGCTCCTCCGTGATCGACTCTGAACACATGTCCTTGAAATTCTGCAGCGCGACTGGGTCGATGACGACGGCGTCGTCCTTATCACTCCCACCTTTGCTCCCGCTGTCGTCGTCGTCGCTGTACCCACCGCCCTCGAGCACCCCGGGCCCGAATCCATGGGCACGCCCCAGATTCTTTTGCGTCAGGCTGGTCCCGTTCAGGATCCACCCTGTATACTGCGGGAAGGCGCTTTTCGGCGGCGTCTGCGGGCCCAGGTCGCCCTGTCGCACGCCGCCGGAGATGCTGGTCGGGTGCTTGGTGCTGCCCTCGACGCAGTAGGGCGAGTCAATCACGTTGCCGTCGCGGTCCGAAAACGCCAGCTCGGCCACCCGGTTCCACAGCGCCGTGTCGTCCGCGATCATCTCGGGCGTGTACCAGATCCGGCAGTCGGCAGCCTCGTACGCGAAGTGGAGCGGGATGTTGTGCGGCTCGCCCATGCGGTAGGCGTTGAAGCCGTTGACGCGGAGGCCCGTCCCAAAGCGCTCGGCGGGGCCCAGGTTCCAGTCCTCGAACTGCGCGTCCGCGGACTTTGGGTTCGCCGTGATTTGTTCCGTGTAAGCTTCGACCAGGTACGCCAGGAAGTCGTATGAGAAGAGCCGGCTGCCTCGGACGCCGCCGATGGTCTGCATGGGCCCGCTCTGTGGCCGCCCGCCAACGACGATGCTCATGACGCGGAACTCGTTCTTCAAGTGCTCGACGAAAATCGAACATGCAGACGCACAGTACCTGCGACAGCGATGTCAGTCAAATGGCTTGCCATTGATAGGGCAACGGAGGAGAGGAAGTATCGGGAGGTTTGTTTCTCGCAAAGAGAAGCACGTGGGGAACTGCTTACCCATCGGTCAAGATGATGATGTTTTCTGCCGCAAAAGGCCGCTCTGCCCGAGGATCGGCTTGAGTTATGTTCAGATCCGAATGGTCAATCATCGAGTATTCGTTGTTGGTATAGTTTTCCTGAAAGTACGAGGTGAAATACCCCGGACCCTCGCGATACGGGCCGTAGAATTGGTCGGCGCTGTCAAACGACTTGACACTCGGCGACATGACCGTCTGATAAGCCCAGGGCGAATTCCAGTACTCGGCGTAGATTTCTTCCTCGTCGAGGCCCGTGTTGGGGTTGGCGTCCTGGGCAATGTCCGTCTGCTCGCTGAAGTAGTCGACGAGGGCTTTCTGCGCGCCGTTGGCTCTCAGGCTGGATTTGGTGTCGGGAGGCGTGTCGGGAAACAGCTGCACCATTGTCTCGAGGCACAAACGGACGGATCCACCTCCGTTCGTCCGCAGGTCGATGATGAGATGGTCTTTGCCGTTCTCTTTCGCCGACGCCAGGATTTCTTGCAGGATCTCCTGCGAGTTGACGTCTGAACCACCGTCGTCGTCGGGCGAAAAGCTGGTGATGGTCAGGACAGCAACATCATCCGGGAGATCGCCACCCCAGTACCCCGTAAAGGCACCAGCGTCGTCGGATATCACAGCAGGCACGGGCGACTGTCGCTTGACTTTTCGTTTCGCCTGTGCAGACTCGCCAGAGTCGTCAGACTCGTCGCTGAGATCGACCGTCTGGTAAAACATGTTGTACATTGTTTCCCCGTCGACGATGTCCGAAAAATTATTGGGTCCCCAGTCAAAGTAATTTTGGTACGCTCTGATCGAGCCGTTTTGAAACGTCAAGTTTGTGTCTGTTCCGGGGTAGAATTCTGGACTCCCGAAAAACCCGTAGGGATACAGCAGGCCGTTGTATAAAGCGTCTGGATCTTGGGACGTGCCGGTCAGTGATTCCGTCTGCAGGAATTCCTGAACGTCGAGACCATTGATCTTTGTGATGGCCGAGTAGTCCCCGCCCGTTCGGACCCGTAGCTGACCATCGTCGTCAAACTCGTATCGATCCCCAAAAAGATAGACCGATGGATATTCTATTCCATCTTCGGACAGGGACACCAAGTACGTGATGGTGGGGAACCGGTGGAAAGTCAGTGCCTTCATTATTGGACCTTTGGTCATTAAGTGGTCGTCCTTTCCCAACAGTGACATGGTATGCAGATCAACTTGCAGGTCATACTCGCTCGAGTACTCATTGTTCATGACCTTCTGTCCAATTTGATCCAGGGTATCGAGGATGTCGACAGGTGGAAAAAGCCATCCGGTGGTCGGCGCGGCCAAGTAGTCGAGAGTACTTTGCATCTCGAGATAGCCTCGAAGGCCATTGATCAAGGCTGCCGCATCTCCTTGAACCACGGGCACCGAGTTTAGGCATTCATATGCCACCTCTGGACTGAGTAGGTCCGGTGAGCCGTCACCTAATGATTGCCTTTAGCAGCGAATCTGACTCGGATTGAGAAGGGTAATATACCATAGTTGACAGCATCGAATATGGCGGCAACATGTTCGCAGGGATGGCTATAGCCGGTTTCTGATCGGGCAACAGCGCCGAATGCTCGCCCCGCCCAGAAGATCTGAGTCGTGACCCATAAGAGGAGAGACATTACATAAGAACAAGCTGGAGATTGTCGCATCTCAACAGGAACATTGGCTATCAATCTCTCTCACTCTTACTCTCGCTCTTTTTTTTTCTATCCTGGACAGGATTCTTTGCAAGTAAAAAGGGCCCCCGGGTCAATAAATGAAAAGTACTTACGTCGAGAGGAAAAAAAACATCAAACACCAAGCAAAAAGTGCTAAGGGAGGTTTTTTGGTCTCCTGTCAGCCCAAGGCCTGGCCAGGGCAAAGATCCTGAAGGATGGGGCCAATACGCCCGACTCGTGCTCGCTTGAAATATGTAGTCATGCCGTAAGTGAAAGCCAAGAAGGTCCGCCTCGAGGTTAACTCAGCCGTAAATTGACGAGGGCCTAGCGAACAGGCTCCTTTCAGCGACCTCGGGGGCTCATCGAAGACATCGTATATTGACCGGCGCCCGCGCTGGGCATCGCCAGTCTAGACGCCCACTTGGGCGTTTTCATAACCGGCTGAAAATGTGGTGTGGTGGCCTTCTGTCACGGGGGACGGGGAAGAGACGAGCTGAAACATTGTTCGTATTGAGCGCCAGTAGAGCGGAAGGCCGTCTCTTGCCAAGACAAGTGCCAAGACCAGGGCGGAGAACTTCCTCCACCCGTTTTAGAAATCTCGACCAAGCTCGAGTCAGCCCAGGGGCCACAAGAGATCAAGATTAGCTGCTGAATCCTTCGCAAAGTTGGTCTTGGCAGAGCGATAAAGACGACGGAGCTTATGGCTAAATTGACACTCGTATAGTTGAGCCGTGGAAACGACTCAATCAATCATTTCTAGATGCCTAATTCCTCTGTGTTCCACTGCCAGGTAGGTGGACGAAGTTCTGGTCGCACACCCGTCTGCGGAAAAGCCTGTAGATAGGCACACTATCAAGCTCATGTCCGACCCTCACATTTATGTTCAAGCTGCGAACAGTGCCGCAAGCACCCCCGCCAAAAGCCCAGCTGCTGCAACCATAGGCCTCATTGTGGGAGAAGCAGCGGAGGACACGGACGGCGATGTTGCCTGGGTCGCAGAAGAAGATGGCTGCGATGAAGACGGCGTAGGTGATGCTGAGCTCCCATTACCCTCCATGGTGTCAAAGGTAGGATCGTCTGCGTACTGAGCAGAAACACCCGATGAGTTGCTGCAGGCCGATTGCGGTGTCCCTGTCCCTGCGACAAAATTCACATGCATGCACTAAAGAATCAAGGACCATCAGATGAGACAATTCGCCATTCATCTAGTGCACAAACTCGCCATTCAAAATATTGTAAGAAGGAACTCCATACCTGGTAGTGCACACCGTCTTCCGCATCCTGGACAACTTGGAGCAACCCAGCCGACCCCACCCAGGAAGGCGGTATTGTGAGGGCGGGCTGGCAGAAACTATTCAGGCCGAACTCTTCAACAGTTGGAATCAGGACCGTCCAGTTCGGTGCCGATAGCGATGTGCCTAGCAAAGCACGGTAGGCGAAATATGACTGCGCATGAAGGCTTGTCAGACCGACGGCGTCGCCTCCGACGTGGAAATCTGTGATGTTGTCGGAGCTCGAGGGGCTGAAACCGCCACAGGGCGACTGGTCTTCATTGTTGATGTTATTCCCCAGTGGTGGCGGCGTTAGAATGATGAAGTGAGAAGCACAGAGGGGCAGCAATACGATCGTGAGGAGTGAGGTAACTTTGAGGGTCCTCATGGCTGTTTTTTTGACGAGGGGTTTTGATGAAGGAGCACACTTCGAGCAGGTAAGAGGAAGTGAAAGAGAAAGAGACAGAGCAGACAACAAAGGGGGAAGTTGACTGCAGTTTTCGACAGCAGCCATGCCATCGAGACACATGGTGGCCCTGCATTGGTATCCGAATAACCGTGGTGCTGGTCTCTTGTGGAAGGGTTGCTGTTTACGAAAACTTGCTCACTTCTCGGTCAACTTCCGGCTTGGTGTTAGCCTCGCAGACTAGCTTCGTTGACGACCACAGCGAATGCATCGATGATAGGCTCAACGACCCATGTGGCTTGCAAACAGACAAGGGAGCGTCGAGTCGTCGAGTTGACAAGCTTCGAGATGGAGTCGCGAGATGAGCTTGAGCAAGATAAGCATGTCGCCCATAAATGCTTCGCATTCTCTCGGGTGACTGCAACAGAGCAGTTTCTCTTCGACAGAATTCAACCTCGATTGAAACCCTTTTGATTCTGGCAATATGCAGCATTTTGTCTCCTGTCTTGCGTTTGCGACCTTCGTTTCGCTGGTGTCTGCTCACACCCAAATCTGGTATCCGGAGTGGCGGGCAGACTCCTTTGACCTTCCCTTCTCGCAAAGGATATACCCTTGTACGTGAAGACTCGATTCTGTCAGCAGTCGATTTATACTTACCTCTCGACCCTCCAGGTGCTGGCATCTCTGACAATGCAACGACGCCTCGCACAGAGTGGCCCCTGACTGGAGGCTCTCTCAATGTCACTCTCCACGACGCCGCCGCCTACATCTTCATCAATCTCGGTTTCGGGGCCAACTCGTCCGACTTTAACGTCACGCTGTTCTCTGCCCCCCTCAACGAGACAGGACCCGGCAACCTCTGTTTCCCCAAGCTAACATTACCGCCTGGCCTTCCAATCCAGGAGGGGACGCAGGCGTCGATCCAGTTTGCCACTGCTGGTCATAATGGCGAAGGCCTGTACAATGTGGGTGGTGACCACGTTTGTTCCGTCCATCGACCTCTGCTGATTGTTTTCTGGCCAGTGTGCTGACATTACCTTTACCAACAATGCCACTTTGTTGCCCTCGGACCAGTGTCAGAACAGCTCAACCGTGAGCGTTACAACCCTTGGCTCTTGTCCAGTCCCGGCGACGAACTCTAGCGCTGAACCCAGCTCTACCTCGGCGTCGAGCTCATCGGCGGCGAGTATCTTTGCTCCTTCGGCATTGATGGTACTCTTGGCAAGTCTGTTTGTGGTCGTGTGGTAGCCTCTGATGCGAGCACACCTTCACAGTGGAGGGAATGGACGAGTTGGAGTTAGGCAGTATGACACAGACAGATGTGAAGGCGGTCGGAAAAAACAGATGCACGCGCAGAGCAAGAGAGATGGCCACAGCGCAGATGAAGAGCTGTTGACCAGACATGTCGAGAATCGTTAGAGATGACGAATATTTAGTGACAAAGATGATGAATATCTAACAGTGACACAGCTCTGAGTAGTGAAATTCCTTGCCACCATTATTGTTGCCTTTTCCCGGTCGACTCGAGTATCTTGCGGGAAGCCATAGCTTATGCGGTCAACAGCACCCGCATCTTATGACTGATCAAGCCACTCGTCGCGGCTGAGTACAAATCACCTCTTAGTCAAGACAACAATACTCGGTATACACAGTATTGCGGCCCCACTTTTGTGGAGTATAAACCCCCCCCCCCACGGCATAACCGAGGTTGAGTGGGGGTGATTGGCTTGCCGCGGGTACACTCGATACCATGTTCCCTTTTTTTCGGAGACGCATTGGCAGCAAGGACTGTAGGCAAGTAGTACACCACTCAAACCATCATTGCTTTCCCCGTGCCATATCTTGCTAACACGCCGTGCTCTCAATCGGAAGTTTTGTTCCTGACCCACTCCATGATCGAGAACGTCTGACCAAAAAAATAACAAAAATACTTGGTCGATCCTGCCAGGCGAAGAGCCTCACCGATTCCCCGCTGCATGGTTATACATAGAACAAAGGCCATTGCTCTAGTCAGTCCCTGCCACTCGCTTTCAAGTACTGTGGACGAGCATGGGTCCCTCGAGTCAGACCTCAACCTCCAAGCCCTCAACCACCAGCGACTTCCGGTTCATCTCGACCAAGCCCGTCAAGAGACGAGCCACACAGGCTTGTATCCAATGCCGCCACCGCAAAGTCCGCTGTGACTACATCTTCCGCCGTCCGTCGTCTTGTACCAACTGTCGCCTGGACGGGAACGTCTGCGAGGTGCCAAAGAATAACCGTCGCAAGTGAGTGTGTGCCTTGCCCTTTGGTGCCAGGATCTCTCAGCTTAAGCTCCAGTCTCAGATCCCATCTTCGCGATGGCTTCTCTCATGTCACGACGGCCAACCTCCTGGCGCCGGAGGCCGCTGCGACGACACAATGGCATGAAGATCCGTTGCCGCCAGGCGGTCCGGAACCTGAGCTTCAAGATGCTGCCCCTGAGAGAGGTGTGATACCCTGAGTCAAAGGTCGCTCGCTGCTCTTTTCCCCCCACTAATCGATCTTTGTAGACTCAGTGAATGAGCTGATGCCGGAGCCCGAGATGGGCATCGAACAAAACAACGAATCCATGATGTGGAAAAGCCTGTCAGTCCCCCTGGACCCAACCTCTCAAAAAGACCAGCCTTGCGAGTCTGAGGACGCACCAAACATTGTCCTCCCGCCGTATCTTCGCCCTGTGCCCAACCATATTGCCAACGAAGACCTTGTCTACCTCGAGAAAAAGAAAGCCTTTGAGATCCCTGCCACCATCCAACGCAACGAGCTGATTCGGTGTTACATCCAGTACGTGCACCCTCTTTCGCCCATCATCGACCTGCGCGATTTCCTGCGCGCCATCGACCAACATGAGCCCAGCGAACCCATCAGCCTGATGTTGCTCCAGGCGGTCATGTTTGCGGGCACCACGTTCATCGATATGACCTACGTCACGGGCTACGAAGACCGACACGCGTACCAAAAGGCGTATTTCCAAAAGGTCAAGACGCTCTACGACCTCGACTACGAGGAGGACCGCGTCACCATCGTTCAGTGTGTCCTCCTGATGACGAACTGGTACGAGAGACCCAGCTACCACAAGGACATATGGCACTGGGTCGGGATTGCCGTGGCCGACGCCAGATCCATCGGGCTCAACTACGAGCCCCAAGCCGGCGCCGGCACCGTCCAGGAGAAGCGCCTCTGGAAGCGGATCTGGTGGAGCTGCTACACGCGCGACCGGCTGGTCTCGACCGGAATGCGGAGGACGATGAGGATCCGCGAAGAAGAGTGCCAGCTCTCGATGCTCGACCTGGCCGACTTTGAAGCGTGCACCTCCCTTTCCGACTTTGAACACATGATCGGGACCGCGTGCGCCGTCGGCGAGGGAGCCACCCACGCGAACCTGGTGCGGCTGTACATCGCGCTGATTGAGCTCTGTAAGATCATCGCCGATGTTTTGACATTGCAGTACGAGGAGCCGTCGCAGAAGATCAAGGGCACTCGCGAAGCCACGTCGAAGCTGATCCCCAAGCCGCGGGCCAGTGCGTTGGAGGTGGAAATGCGCGATCGAGACCTTGAGGCGTGGTACGCAGGGCTGCCCGTGGAGATACGGTATTCATTCCTGGAGACACCCGAAGAGAGGAAACCCGTCAGCGACCGTCTCGTCTACCTGCACAGCACCGTGGTGGCCAGTGTGTATTTGGGCATCTCCAGCGCGCTGTACCGACCGCAATGTTGGACGCCCGTCACGGAGCACCCGACAGAGATGCGCAAAAAGGCCATGGTCAAGGTCTACGACGCCGCGTGCAAGGTGGCGCAGCTGTACCGAGACGTCGTCGCCCGCAACATGATCGACAGCGTGCCCAACACGAGCGTCGCCGTCCTGCTGCCCGCCTGCGTCGTCCTCCACGCCGATGCCAGCCGCATCACCTCGCCGACGCGGAACCGGTCCCGCCACCTTCTCGAGGAGTGCATCCAGGTCCTCCAGCATCTCAGCCGCACCTTCGCCTCGGCCCGCTTCGCCCTCTGGCTGGCCTCGCAGATGATGCAGAAGATAAATCTGTCCACCCAAATCTCGACAAGTCAGCCCGAACATCGTCCCTCTGACCCGAACGCAGATCAGTCCACGGTGCACCCAGCGCCGCCACAGGACCCGCCACCGGCGACTGCTTGTCACCCGTTGATGGGACCTCCGTTGAGCCTCCCACAAGAAGCACCGAATCTCGTCCCAGCGGAGATGATACCAGATGACGCTCACTTGCCGGTGCTAGAAGAGCAAGGCGAGGACATTGACCAGAGTGATGACTTCTTGCTGAATGGCACGTTCTCGCTTCAGGAGATCGAGAACCACATGAACCGTGCGTGGTGGGACCCTATGGTGAATTTTTAAGCCACCGATTTCCTGGCCGGACGGGGAAGCGGCTGTTGGATATGAAGTAGAGAGAGAGGCACGGATGGATCGGGACTGATACACGGACTTGATGACCTTTACGTCGACAAACAGTAGAGAAAAGATGGGAAAGATGAAAGGTGGGATTCCGGTTGATCAACAAAAGCAGGTTAAATAATCCAGGCGATAGAAATGCACCACATAATTTCGTCTACATACCATATTTGTTGTATTCTGTCATCTTGTATTTCGGACATCGACAGTGCTCCGTCTCGACGGTTTATTCAGGGTCGAAAATGCCCTCAATCCCAAAGAATGGGTCCTGGCCGCCAAATTCAAGTGCCGACCCAAACAGGTCCCACGGGCTCAGGGTACCGTTGATGATCGGCGCTTGATCAGGCATAACTCCATCCATAAAGCTGGGTGTGTCAAGCGAAGCACCATTCGTGTATTGTGGGCGGTTGAGGCCTGTGGGACGGGTTGGCGACGTAGCATTCTCTTTACTAGTCGCCGGCGCAGACGAGGCTCTGACTGCTTGAACAGCAGGCACAATAAGCCTCGCTATGTCGTTGGCAGCCTCGTTGACTTGTCCAAGTTCAGGTAGAATGGTCAGACAAGTGTCCAAGTGCTTCAAGGCTGCTTCACGTATAGGCCCTTCGGTTGACCTGGCGTCTAGGAGATGGACAAACACAGCGGTACAAATCGTAGCCACGCAAGTCGGCGGGAGTGAACCAGTCAGCTGTTGCTCGTGCAAAGTCTCGTGAATGGTGGTGATCTCGTGGGCAGCTTGCCTGATCGACCTGGTATGTCCCTGGGCATCCAGGGCCTCGATATCGTCGAACCAATCGCCCCCGATCTGTGAGGACTTTGGCCAGTTGGTAGCTGACGCCTCACTCCTGTGTAGCATTACCACAGCCATGAGCTGTGTCAGAAGTAATGTCGACATGGTCATCTGCAAGGACCTATCTGCACCTTCGAACAAATTCAAAGCCGCATCATATGATGTCAGTTCCATGGGGAGCTGAAGACGCCAGTCTTTGAGCTCTGACTCAAGCTGCCAAATTCTTGCGTTCCGGCTCTTCTGGCCGCTCGCGACATCGTCATTGGATGAGGAAAGTTTGAGAATTTGGTAAATAACCAATGCGAGCTTTGCTTTCTCGATGTATGCCATCTCGAGTCGCCGTTGTATCCACGGATCTCTCCGAAGCTTTCCAGTTTCCGGTAGATGTGAATAGTGACTGAGAGAAGCAGTGTTCCCGAATATGTCGTGTTGAGGTAGGGGGCTGCGGTAGAGTGATATTCGCGGCGGCTTTCCCAGTGTCAGGCAGATGTCGCACTCTCTCAGAATTAGAGTCCACCAGATCCTCTGGCGCAATACTTGGTCTTTTTTGGGAAGATTCGTATTGCTTCCAGGCTTGTCAATCCTCAGAGTACATGCCTCACTGATCGCAACGCCCATCCAATAAAACGGATCCCTAGAGTGCTCATAGCTAGCCCAGCTACTCAGGAGGATGGATGCCTGGCATGTCACCAGACGGTCCGTCTCGACATCCATATCAAATAAGACCTAAATGCAGTATTAGATTCCACTGTCAGAATGGGGCTTATTGTGGGATGCGAACCTTGGCTCTGGTGTAACACTGTTTTCTCGCAGCAACTTTAGACTCAAAACCGTGGCTAAGGATTGTCTGTACATCCACAGCGGCTAAGCCAGCACACATAACAGCATGATATAGAAGTGGAGATATCTTCTTCTCCACATCCGAAAAAAGAGCGGCAACGAATTCTTCGAGGTCAATGACCGGGACCAATGGATGAATGAACTCTGCGTATCTGCGCATGATAGTTTTGCATAAATCTGCAGACAGAAATGTGAAGCATCCACGTGCTTGTAAGTATCGCAAATCGTCCTGGTCAAGGTGTGATGGAAGAAATTTGATAAATCGAGGAAGACGCGACCTTGGAAGAGTTTCGGCTGTGTCAGTGGCATGATTGGGGGAAGCGGTTGGCGAGGTCTGAGCAGCATATTCGAGTTCGACAGACACTCCACTTGATAAAACTGTTCCGTGACCACTATCTAGAGACTTTCTCTCGTCGTCCCCAAATATGTCATGGTAGACGCCTGTAGAAATCTGACCTGTATTTGGATCTATCGGAGCAAGACTTATCGGTGCCGTCAGAGGCATGCTGGATGTGCTATATACAACTCTGTTCTCAGGTTAGTTAGGAATTCTAATCTATGGAAAGCATGATACGTTACCTGCGGCGATTGTTCTGTGGCAACTCGCAGACTATGCCATCTAGTCGACAGTTTGTACATGATCCAGGTGACTTCAACACATAGTCGCAACGGACTTTTCGCTTCCGGCACTGAGTACATGCTTGGGAGGCTCTCTTTTTCACAGGCTTGGTTCGGACAAATCGGCCATCTGTAGGAGCCTTGTTGTTAGAAGCCATCGAGTGGGACAATATAGAAAGGCCGATAGATGAGCGGGAAATTTCCGAGAGATGCTCAAAGTCGCATTGGGCTGTCGTAAAGAAAAGAGGAGCTAGAATTAATGGCGATAGTGACCGTCAGAGGTGGACCGCAGAAGGTGACGAGTGTACCTAGGCATTTATCGAACCATTAACCCTGCCCAGAATTGGTAAGTCGTGGTCTCGGCGCACATGATGTTGTTTCGCTGCAGACAGCAAATCCCTTCCCCGTCGTGGGGAACCTGCCCGTGGGCAACCCCCTCTTGCTCGGTCTGGGGGACGAGAAGGGTACGCTACCGCGGTTAACTGCCTCGGGATCGACGCGCATGTCATTTCAAAGACACCAAGCATAGTTCAAGGTTTTGTTCCATTCCGAAGTAGTCAGCAGGAGACCAAGCCTTGCGGGAGCCTTGTGAAGGGCAAATGGCCCTTAGTGCCGCCCTTCCGATGTGAAGGCTAGGTTGCGCATATCAGGTTATGGACTAGCAAAGAGCGAAGAGCTTCTCGAGTTTTGCTTGAATAGACGGCATGAGGCGAGATTGAGACCTTTGGGAGCAGTGAATCTAGTTGTTCAATCTAGTGTTTCTCTGAAGCTCGTTTAATCGGCGGAAGATTTCCTTTTCCTGCCCTAGTCAATGAGGTTGATCGACTTGCGCAGCCTTACGCGAGGTTGCGGCTGTAACTGCGTCCTTGGCTGCAGCCGAACTTGATTGGCCGGGACCGATGTTCAGGACTGATCTCCATGTCCGAAGAGGTAGCATTTGGAACACCGGTGGTTCAGTGATCTCATACAAGGCAGCTCGCTCTCAGCATCATCATCATCAGTATCAGAAGAACTGTGCAGAAGGAACGACGTCGTTGGTGAAGTCTGTCATAGTTATTTGGATTTGGTTCTCCTGGTTTGGAACTCACGTGGCAGGAGTAGCGAAGGGGGTGGAGTCGCATTTTGTGTGCCCCAACTGCATCCACTGCGCAAACCAGAGTGACTCAGTTGCACCACCATCACTAGCCATAATAACATTTGTTCTCCTCTCCCTGCTGAATGTTATTTTTTGGGCACTTCCAGGGACCAGTCTCTAAATCCGTCCGAGAGTCTGTAGCCCAGTAGCCTGTCGGCAATGGTTGATTCAAAGTCAGCTGCAACCAGCGCGGCTACCAGTCTAAATCCAGAGGCAGCCTCTTTTACCATGCCCGCCAACAATGGAGAGACCACTCTCAATGGTGCCACCCAAAGTCCTCAGCCGGTGGCGATGAATGGGAATGACCAGGCTAAAGATTCCAAAAAATCCAAGCCGCGGCCCGAGAGTGCACCTCGAACTACCACAGAACAAAACGTGGCCGAAGCAGGAGCAGGAGCAAAATTGACTGGCGCGCAGTTGAAAAAACAGAAGGCGGCGGAAAAGGCGGCAAGAAGAGCAGAAAAGGTTGCTGAAAAGGGAGCACAAGCCGTAGCCCAGGCACAAGGGCAGACCGCAGCGTCAGGAGCAAAGTCAGAAACGCAAAGACGACCATCAACAACGAAGAGAGAAAGTGACACGGGTCCACATCATAAACGGACACCCTCAGGCAAGGCTTTACCTATCCGCGGTGCGATCCAACAACAGCAACAACCGCCTCATGGCTCCACGGTTCCGGACAAAGAGAAGCGTCAGGACCTCAAACGCGTGTCAATGTTCTCTCACCTGTACCCCAAGGAAAAGAAAGCCACGTTGTCCGGAGCTGGTCGAGAAATACATCCAGCTGTAATATCGCTAGGATTACAGCTCCGTGACTTTGTGATCTGCGGCGGCAATGCACGTTGTGTAGCGACTCTTCTTGCTTTCAAAAAGGTTATCCAAACATATACCACTCCTGCAGGTGTGGCGCTCTCTCGACATCTACTCACCCATCTCAATCACCAGATTGCATATCTACGCAATGCGCGTCCATTGAGCATGAGCCAGGGGAACAGCATCCGATGGCTGAAGAACTTGATCTCCACGCAACCGGTTGAGGCCACCGATAGCGAAGCGAAACAAAGTATATGTCGTGCCATCGACTTGTTCATCCGCGAGAGGATCACGCTAGCCGATGAGGTGATTGCCCGAGAAGCCAGTTCGCGGATTCAAGACGGAGATGTGATTTTGACATACGGGAAGAGCAGTATCGTTGAGAAAACACTCCTCACCGCGCATCAGCAGGGAAAGAACTTTCACATCATTGTCGTCGACTCGAGACCTATGTTTGAAGGCAAAAATCATGCCCAAAGCCTCATACGTGCAGGTCTCCAGGTCCACTATACTCTCCTATCTGGCCTAGCAGATGTGCTTGACAATCGATCTCAATCTGTCACTAAATGCTTCCTGGGGGCCTCCGCGATGCTAGGCAACGGCAAGCTGCTCTCTCGGGTGGGTTCCGCCATCGTTGCTATGATGGCAAAGGAATCGACCAAGAATAAAAGCCGGAACGTCCCTGTTATTGTCTTGTGCGAGACTGTCAAATTTACAGCGAAGGCTGCGCTCGACAGTATCATTATGAATGAATTGGGCGAGCCAGATGCTTTGGTGGAAAGTGCCGAAGCGGAGGTCTTGTCGTCAACCAAGCCAGCTACAGAGGCCAGTGTTGCAGGAAAAGGCGCCAATAAGAAGTCGAATCAGCAAAAGGACAAGAAGGATGAAGACGATGGGGATGAGAAGAGCGGCTCGTCGAATACTAGGGGGTTGGAGGATTGGAGGGATCAACCAAATCTGTTCCTACTGAATCTTATGTACGATGTAACACCGGCGGAATTTCTGGATCTTGTGGTGTGTGAACTGGGCAGTCTGCCGCCTCAGGCTGTGCCGGTGGTGAACGGTGTGCATGGGGACGACCAAACGCTGGCTTAATGGGTGCGGAGGAAGATTTCTTCTCCCTTTTCAGGGTTTCTGTGTGAATACGATGAAACACTTGGTAATGAGAGCATGACGGTCCTCAAGACTCAGACTAGTCCTGTCCTTCAAATAGCGCGGCATCGGATGAATGTGATGTCTCTAGTATCAAGAATCCAGCAATGTATCTAAGCCCAAACTTGGCGATTGGTGGCATCATAAACACCTCGATCCAACGACGGGAATTATGGCAAGAATCACCAATAGGAAAGGTCATGACAATGGACGGCAAAGAGAAAGAAGTTGGCAGAGAATTGACATACACGAGTCTGTTTTCCACCGTCTAGCGCCTACGGCTACTACATACGTATGTATGTAGCCTCGTCTTTCCGCAGAATCCCACAACGAAAAAGAAAGCCATAGTCATGACTCCGTTGAGGGGCACACAAAAAACCACTTGTCGTTGCCTTTTCTTTTTATCGGTCCAGCTAGAAGATTCTCATCCATTCCGCACTTTTGCGTGAGGACACGGTCCTCGTTCCAGCATGTTCGTCACCTCTGACTCCTGCTCTCCAACCACCCACTGTGCTCTCCCACCATGTTGCAAGTATTCACCGAACCCCATTCCGTTCGTTGAGGTCCGTCATATTGATTGATTTCAATCCAGTCAATACATTCCGCTGTCGTTGACGAAGGATTTACCGGTGCTGTTCGTGGAGAGTTTCCCATGTCAGCCAAACGTTCCGGAGGATTCGTTGTCGCAGGACGACTCGTAGTCCTCCTCCGCATGTTTGTAACGTACCTTGATGAAACCGATATCCTGGCTCTTTTCCCGGAAGCATTGACGGCAGATGTTGAGGCCGTATTTGCGGATCAGACCGGCTTTGTGGGTGCAGACGCGGCTGTGGAACACGGAAAAGTCAGCACATCACCTTCTCTTGTGTATAGCAGTTCTCTTTACAGCTCCTCGAGCGGGGGTTATTGGTCGCATTGAGCTGGGAGGGCATCGTTCGTAAACTGGGCTCCTCCTCGTTTGGCATTCCAACATCTTCCGAGGGATAATGTCATTGATTTAACCGCAAAAAGGCACATCGAATCCAGCTCCCAAATCCACCTCTTCTCAAAAGACACCGAACCGCACAAATCTTCTTGTTGGGGATGTAGAATGAGTGGAAGACACGTACCAGCCGCGAGCACCCTTGCCGAAGGTTCGGGGTCGGGAGTACCAGACGCTTTCGTGAGACATGGTTGCGGTTTTCTTTTCGTGGAGCGTCGAAGAAGGGACTGTTTCGTCGGGGCTTCTGGACGAGAAAATTGTCAGAACTTCTCTCGCAGGTGCACAGAGCTCGAGGCAGGGGTGATCAATCTCATCGACCGTGCGATGATCGTAGTGCCTGAATTAATTCGAGTGCAGGGAGACATACCGTTCAAGCTGGCTGCAACTGGTGGTTTGGCGTATTACAAGTACCCTGCGAATGTGGAAGTTGTAAAGTTCTCGATCGCAATTCAGAATGTGGGTTCCACAACGCCAAGATAATTTTGGTCACGTGAAATGAAATGTCGAGATTCATGCTGATTGGTCAATGGACAGCATTGCTTCTTGCCCAACACTAGATATCGACAGGCCATCCCAAAGCCATCAAGGTATATCTTTGATCACATTGTGCCGCCTACTACTAACATCTTCTTGTCTATTAGAGGAGCCCCCAGGCGTTGTTGAGTTAACGACTGTGGCTAGAGAGCGAGCCCCTCCAAGAGAACATACAAGTATGCCAGTCAATCTTGACGCTATTGCACCTCCGCACTGACTGCAGCATTTCCCTGTGCGATTCGTCCGTATTTGGCGACCAAAATGGATCGTACCTGTTCATTGGCCCTGTTTCTCCAGCGTAGATGACTCTCTACCTGACAGCTCGGCATTAATTAGGACCTATGGAGAGACATGCTCATCCCAAGTCAACCGACGTCCATCACATGAGTCGAGTGATACACGTTTCAAGATCTTTGAACTTCAAAACCAAAACGGACGTAGCCCTATAAACCCGCTACATCAGCGCAATTATCATGCCAGGCCTCAGAGTCGCGTTCACGGGTGGCTCGGGCAAAGTAGGTCGGCATGTGATCAAAGAGCTCCTTCGGTATGGCCACCAAGTCATCAACCTTGATCTCGTCGACCTTGGATCTTCGTCCAAGGACTTCCCCGAGCTGCAGGATGTCCACACCACAAAATGCGACCTCACCGACAGCGGCCAGGTATTTAGCAGCCTCGTCACGCACATGAAACTGGGCGAGCCGTTCCCCGCAGAAGCACCTCGACCTCCTGACGCGGTGATCCACTTTGCTGGGATCAATAAGCCGATGATTGTCTCTGACGGGGAGACATTTCGGATAAATACTATGGGCACCCACAATGTGGTTGAAGCGGCTTGTAAGCTGGGGATCAAGAAGATCATCATTGCGAGCAGTATCGCCGTCTATGGCGTGTCATTTGGCCAAGGTAATTTGGAGTATGCTTCATTTCCCGTCACAGAGGAGGCGGACTGCAATCCAACGGACCCCTATGCGCTGTCGAAATTGTGCGGCGAACGGATTGCGAGGGCCTACGCTACGAAATTTGGCACGGATATCTACTGCCTGAGAATAGGGAGGGTGTTTGAACCGGACGGATACGATAGCGATATGTTCGAGGGCTACGTCCAGGAGCCGGAGAAGTGGTTTCAACATGGCTGGTCCTATACTGACGCGAGAGATCTGGGCCAAATGTGCCACCGCGGGCTTGTGACGTCCGGTCTCGGCTTTCAAATCTTCAACGCCGTCAACGACACCATCACCAACTTCACCGACGATGCAGGCCGACTCCTGAAGCGTTGGTATCCGACCGTTCCGCATACGAGAGTAGTGGCGGGGAAAGAAGCCCCCATTACCAACGAGAAACTTCGGCGACTATTGGGCTTTGAAGAGGAATATGATTGGAGAGGGTAGCTTTGAGTAGAGCAGGCAGGCTTGCTGCTGGCCTTGGGTCGCTTGCATGGTCTAGTCCGGGGATTCGCTGGGGATTGTCCTTGAAGAGCAGCGGCCACAGAGCAAGCAATTTACTCCCGCACGTCAATTGAGCATCATTTCCCCAGCCCAGTTGTTTTTACCCGCTACAAATTGTAGTCCTTGTTCCACTCGAGAAATTGACAGAATTCAGCAGTCACACTGTCGCTTAGCGATGGACTAATTCGTACAAGTATTCAACTATCAAAACATCAGAGTAAGAATCTAGCAGTCTTGCAAACAGCATAGCGCTACTCTACCAAACGGGGATAGAGATGTAGCAATGTCAATGTCAAATGTCAAATGTGATTAAATGGCTATCCAACAGACTTCAATCGCCCAAAAAAATCAACGCCACCATGCATGTTCATAAACCAATCCCACCCGCCCGTGCGTTGGTACAAGTAATATCTCCAAATCCAATGCAGATGAATGATGGTGTACAATTACATGGTTTCCCAGTGTAGGGAGGTTCCGAGTTGGTCGAGAGTTCGGGGTGTTGTATTACCCCTACAAGCCCCTGGCACAGCCGTCGGCGATGTGGATGTGCAGGGGACCCCTACACGTGTAGTTCCTCGGGAAGGCGTCTGCAATCCACCAGATCTGCCAGCTGTGGATGGCGGCGAGGGCGCCCGCATTGTCCTCGCACGCGTAGAAGAAGTTGCGGCCGTGGTTCTGCAGCGCGCCGTTCCAGTTGAAGCTGAACTCGTTGGTGCGGACGCCCGCGGGTGGCGAGCCGTGCGGCGTGCTGAAGCCCACGGGCTGCGACTGTCGCGGCACCACGTACATCTGCTGCCAGCCGGTCGGGCTGGCGTGGATGGACTGGAAGGTGAGGGTGTCGACGCCGTTCCGGCCGCCAGAGACGATCAGCGGCTCCGAGTAGGACTGGTACTTGATCTGGCCAATGTAGGCGGAGCTGTTGGCGTAGAACAGGCTGTAGGACTGGAGGTCGTTCATGTTGAAGCGACCACCCCCGATGGCGAGGTCATAGACCGCCGCGTCGCGGGGCTCAATATCGCTGGTTTCGGAGGTTTCGATGGGCGCGGCCATCGTGAGACCGAGAAGGGTGCCTGCCGCGGCGAGAACGATGGTTGGTTTCATTGCGAACGATTGGCGAGGCTTGTTAACGAAGTGGTCACTGAAGGTATTCTCAGTGTAGAGCTGGACTGTGTGGGTAAATCTTGTGGAATGTATTGTGTATGGGTAGAGTATGGACATGGTGTCTGGGCACAACACAACTTTATATGCAAGTACGATAAAACAAGCTGCGTGATATGCATAAGCTGATCTGCTGACAAGCACTGACCTGACCTTTTTCAGCATGTGAGCTAGAGAATGGGAGATCTAAAACATGGGGAATCAGAGTATTGGGATTTAACCAGAGGATCCTTGAAGCAGGGTTTGCATTAGGCGAAGTATTCCCGCTTTGGCGAGAAGTGACTTATCAGACATCGTGCAATGACCTCTCACAGCGCGGCAAGTACTTGAAAAGGTACTTGGTAGACGGGTAAGGCGATGATGGTATGAGGTGTTGGAGAAGAGCCGTGGCTGAGCACTGTTCGACCATACCGGCATAACACCACACAGCCTTGTCTCAAGATCAAATGCTTTTTGGGGCGGGTATTGCGGGTGGAATTTCTCCAAGTCACCATGGCCATTCAGAGTAACCATATTCCAAAGGTGTAGAATGGGAGATGGGAAGAAAGAAAATGGAATTCATACTCCGGATCGACAGGAGCTTTTTCTTGTACTGAAAATCTCTCAAAGTAACCAATTCGGAGGTGAGTAAGTCGTGATGAGGCACAAGCCGCGAGGAAGTTGGCGGAAGCTGTGGACCGAACTGCGGGGATCACTAGTCTGTTTTAGGGAGGCTAGTATGTTATAGGAAAGGTGCAATATGGCAAAGCACAAAAGTCGCGCCATAATCGAACCACTTCCTCTCGAATTTCCAATAAGACGCCCCCATTGCTTTTTTCTTGACAGCATACCAAGGATCGTACGTGGTGCCACTGTCCACACGTTAACTTGTACAAGTAATGGGTGCATTGCCCCTTCACAGCACCCGAAATCATGTCCTTGGGCTGTTGTCTCGGGGTCATGTCCTCCAGCCACCCGCACTGGTGTCCTGCGTTGATTTGTACTTGGCTTACACTTGGCCTTTTACCACATTATCGTGAAGATCACGCGACCTACAAGTAGGGCATCTTTCCAACAACCTCAGAGCCGTGGACTTTTCTTCGCACGGTGCTTTTAATGGCCTAGATCGCACATGATCCCACTACTTCTACTCGTTTGCTAGTCGACATTCAACCGAGCTGCCCAACGTACACTGTTTACGCCAAAAGCACTTTACTTTTTAGTCTGCTGTTATTCCAGCCCAAGTCAACACATTCTCGAGAGGCCACTGCTCTAAATTGCCAAATCATAGTCTCAGAGGTCAAGTGTCGACTTCAAGATGGACACTACAGTCGATGTAAGATCAATTGGGAAGATGATCCATGCTGGATGCAAGCACCATCATTGTCGAAAGCATGCCGATGGTCTCGTGCCTGAATCTGCACAACTACCAACCATTACACCAAAGGTAGGAGAGGAATGGCCTCCAGAGTTCTTGCACTGCGGGACATGGCCACCTCCTCAGCAACCGTCTGAATCAGAGTCCGACATCAACATAGCCGTGAAGCCCAAAACCAAGGCACCCAAGCAGAAAGCGCCTGTCAAGGTATATCCAGATAATATACCAGACATAGATGGGGATGGTAGTGACAGCGACTCCAACTCCGATGAAACAAGCGACGACCTGGCCGATACTCCTGCCGAGCCAGTGGCGGTGGATTCAACGGAGCTGTCGGACGCGATAGACACGTTGAAAGTCGCCACGGACGATGCCGCCAAATCCGGAGATCAAAACGGAAATGATAAGAGTACGTCACAGCTGTTGTTACCTCGAGCTTCTCTCACCGCTTACACATCAGTGTTGCAGGAATAACCAACGTCATCCATGCTCTAGTCAAGGCTCCATACTCGGTGCTCAAGCTCGTCGCCAGACACGGAAACGGCGACGGCAGCCCTCGGAGGGGCAACGACACCAGCAAATCCCCGCGGAAATCGCTTTTTGACCATGAGATCGTGGCCGAGAGCCAGGCCCGCGTGGAGATAGCCGACTATCTGGACAGCCTAATCGACCATGGCGACTACGAAGAAGGCTATGGCTGCGTGTGGCCGCTCGAAGAGTACCGCCGCACGGGATGGGCCAAGGAGATGATCGCCGCGTACCCGGCAGAGAGTGCCGAGTTCGTACGCAGGGTGCATCAGGAGTGCCACGTTCGACACCAACGCGAACCGGAACCAGATTGTCTGTAATTGGCAGCACCATTATGACATTGCGATGTGCGACCAGCCCAGGAGCGAACTTTGAAATTGTACATACATAGCGATCGCTCGACGTGGACGGGAGGGTCCGGCATGTGGAAATATCTCGGGGTGGTCTACAGTTGCGCTTGTACACTCACGGAGTCTCGCGGATACTGCGAATGACTTATGAATCCTGATTATGCTTCATGACTGGGCAACGCGCATGTGGTGGGAAACCAGACTCACGGGGAGGTCTGAATGATCAAGGCAGGCAGAGTCCTCAGAATCAATCGAACCTATTGTTTTCTAACTCTCGAATGCTACTGCACTTCGAATGGCAACCATAATGCCGACCAGTCCTATGTGCTAAGTAGCAAGGCTGAGCGAGGCTGTCGGTGGAGGGGTCAAGTTTAGCAACCACTAGCCTGTCTGCCTGTTACGCCCATCAATCAATTAGGGTCCAGGTATTAATTAATTAGACTTGCGCCTGCCCCACGCTTTTGTTTACTCGTGCGCAGCCATTTTGCCCAAACGTCTCCAAGAATCGTTTGCCCGTCTTCTGCCATCCCATCTTCCATTCTTCACTTCACAATCTAGTCTTCTCTTACGCTTCAATTATTGGTCATTTAACAAGGCAACAGCGTCATGGTTCGTCCCCGTCTCCCCTGAATTCGCCTCACTCGCCCCTGCCCAACCTTGACTTCGGTCCAAAGAAGGAGTCCGGCCTGCTAACATTCATCTGAAACTTGCTTTGTAGTCACGCGACTCCTCCGCAACGTACGTACACCTCCGCGCCTCGCGGCTCGCCGACGTGTTCGAAGAGTTCTGCCGCCCGCCGGCGTCGACGGTGTTTGCGCTATCCACGCCGCTCATGGCGCAGAACCAGGGATCGTCAGGCGGAGGGGGACCAGGAGGGGGCAACAACGCGCTCCCCATGTCAGGCAATATCGGAGACGGCAGCGGCATGACCGCCCTGCCGGGCCACTACCTCCCGTTCGAGGAGATCACGCTGCCCCCGCACCTCATGCCCATCAACCCAGAAGACGAGGACGACGTGGTCCCGGACATGCACGCCGCCTTTGGCATTAACCGCGCCCTGAACCAGAACTTGGTCTCCGCCGCCATCGTCCCGGGCTCTGCGGCAGCTGCGGTCGCGGCGGTCGGCATGGGCGCGGGCAGTGGAGCGGTGGGCGCAGACGGTGCGACGACGGGTGAAGCCAGCCAGGCGGGCGCTACGAGAGATCCCATGTGGAGAGATCTGGGGTTGAATGCGCTGGTGGCCGATGCGCCGAGGAACGGGATTTCTGCTGTCGGCATGGAAGGCGTAGGACGCAGAAGAGAAGGGAAGAGGACGGGGCTATTGCTTTTACGGTGATGAACAGGGGAAGAAGAACAAAGATCCAGCAGCTGTGCAATGTCGATGCATGCACTGGGCTGAATGATGGTCATGAGAAACACGACAGGCGTTATATGATAGCCATTGGGTGGCATTGATAGGCGGCGGCGGACCTGGTCTATGCAACAATAACCTCTATGGAGCAAGCACAACGAGATACGGCCACACCACTATATTCTTATGACATCAACCCTCCCTCGTTCAAAGACATTATGAGCCACGGCCCTGGCCGACTTTTCCTCCTCAGACAATATGCGCGGATGCAGTGATATCTGCGAGTACGTCCCGGCGGCCTTGCGCTTGGACAGTTGTCCGGGGTTGATTACCATGACGCTGTCAACGACCTGCAGCACCCACATTGTTAGCTCGTTCAAAGTTCTTTGAAATTCACCACACGGGCACAAACTATTTTGAACGTACCTTGACAGAAGGCGTCAACATGCTCGGTAGAATAAGCACATCGGGCTTAACCTGCATCCATTCGCCAAGCTTGAGATATCCCACATCCAAACACGCGCCGGTCGCCTTCACGACGCCGTTGCTGGAGAGTTTATCCCTGGACATGGGTGGGAAGAGGGGGAAGAAATGCCGCTGGTCGATCAGATACCCGGGCAGTCTGGTCAGGAGATCTTGACCCGGGCCGTGAGACAATTGCTCCCGACTGAGCTCGTACAGGATGTCTTGGGACGACACCCCAAAGACAACCTCGTTTAGTGAAATGAAAGACGGATTCGGAAGCATCGTGACTTGCTTGGGTAGCGCGAGGTCTTTCTTCGTTAGTCGTTCTTGTGGCCAACTGACGTGCTTGCTCATCAAGTCCCGCGTGCTCGGGATCATGACCACCGTGATGCCAGGCACCGCGGAGCATAGACGCTGTAGAGGCGTGGAGATCCACAGTCGGAAGAGCGTGGACAGTGTGGCTTCTTGGTCCAGTCCTCGCACATCTGGCAGGTCGAAGTCGCCCGATGCCAGCATTGGGTGCTCAATGTCGAGAAACGGTCCGGTCAGTATGAGAGCGTCGGCCATCAACTCCTCGGCTTTCTCGCACAGGGCCTGGAACGGTTCGTAGTCGAGGTTGTCTTCGGCCGTGTACGGACCTGACGCGATCATGACATTGAGTGGGAGGGAGCTGGAGTCCTCCGACACTTCGAGGCGCTCGTTGATTGTCTCGATGTTACTCGGCAGTGAGGACGGCATGGGGAGCTTTGGCACCGTGAGCACTTCCTTGACGGTGAAGTACAGCCCAGACGCGTTTGTGCCTCGCAATGCGACGATCTGGCCCGGGAAGAACTGATATGATGACAACCCGTCCACCTTCAGGGGTACGCGAAGTCCCGCGCCCATTCGTCTG